CTTTATGCCTTCACACTTATGACTGTCAGAGCATACTGTGATCGCATGATCCCAATTTATACATTTCACAGTTGGCTTCCCACAAGCAAAGTCAATGGAGAAGTCAGCAGTGAAATCACAAGTTGCCATCACATCTCTTGCTTAAGGACTAGGGGTCATTTGCTTAATGGCCGAAGTGGAAGTGACATTGTAAGTCTAGTGCAGGGCTTTTCAACCAGTGGTACGGGTACCACCTGTGGTACATTGGCACCTGGCAGGTGGTACGCGACCATCCTAGAAAAGTGGTAGCGGGGGAGGGGAATGAGCTGAACCGGTGGCAGCACCGCACAAGCCTGAGCGAGAGACAGCTGGAGCTGCAGGGCTGTCAGGGCTCAGCGGAAGCGCCAGGATCAGCACCAGGCTCCAGCTGAAGCTTGGCGCTGATCCTGGCGCTTCTGCTGAGCCCAGAAGAAGCGCTGATGAGCTGGAATGTTGCAGCATCTCCAGAGTCTTCTGATTTACATTCAGATGCTTGGTAACTGATTCATATTTATGATGGTCACAGTGTCCCAGGGTCATGTGAAGTGACCAAAACCTTCTGCAACCACCCAGCAGATGGGAATAAAAACCAAACACCCCCACCCCACCCCCGCTGCCAATCCTCAACAGAAATGCTCACAACAATGAAAACCTCGGACAGGAGGAAGAGCGCCGCCGGGCGGGCAGGCAGGTCTTGGCTGTGGCTTCGGGGGCACTTTTTTCAGTGCCATTGTAACTTCGAACAGTCACTAAGCGAACTGTTGTAAGTCAAGGACTACCTGTACTTTATCACTTTTTCCTTTTTTTTTTTTTTTTTTGGTCATCAAGTTTTTGACACCTTGCTAGGCAACTGGTGGTACTCGGATATTGCCATATCCTAAAAGTGGTACAATGGGTGAAAAGGTTGAAAAGCCCTGGTCTAGTGCGGTCACGTGATGTGGTCATTTAATGACAAAGTTGCCAGTTTCAATTATGGTCATTAAGCAAAGACTATCTGTAGTAAATAATATATTGGCATTCCCCCTCTTTGGTCAGGAAGAAATACAAACAATTTAAATTAAATTGCCTGTATTCAAAACAATTTTGAATTGCTTGATGTTAAACAGAGGTATATCATGTTAGTTGTGTGACTACATCAGTAAAAGCTACATTTGCAACCCTTACCTGTGAAGACTGTCATACTGCAGGGCAATTGGAGAAGGTAGCTTTGGCTACACATCATAATATTAATGTAGATTTAATTCAATGAAAGACAGTACGATTGAATGAAAACCATATTTCATATTTCTAAACCATCCATTTTCTTTGAAGAGGGGCTGATGGTTGGAAGTACTGATTTATGTTCTACAAATAGTGGGACTAGATCTATGTGACCTAGATCAGAGGTCCCCAACCCCCGGTCCATGGACCGGTATCAGACCGCAGCATGCCAGCAACCGGGCCGCACAAACAAGCAAAGCCCCATCTGAGGGATGAAGGCAGCACACAAAACCACACCCCCCTCCGGTACGCGGAAAAACCTCTCTCCACGTAACTGGTCCCTGGTGCTCAAAAGGTTGGGGACCTCTGGCCTAGATGATGCAACCTGGAAGAGGGACTTAGGGACCCATTTAGTCTTTTGTGTTTGAGTCAGGGCCACACTCTTAAAAACACATGAGGCCAGGGGGAAAAACTGAATTTGATGCAATTAAATGTAAATTGTGTCACCTTAATTTAATTCACTATATATTTAATAGTTTTCTCCCTATGACCATTAAAAAATACAATTTGCTGGCAAGTTTTGGAAGGACTCGGGTTGAAGCTGAAGTTTTTGGGGTGATGATGTGCAGATTTTGGGCCCCTGATCTAGATGGACCAACGGTCTCAGTATAAGCTCACTTGGTATAAGAACAATCTACCAGTCTGGTTGAAACTGAAGTTGGAATCTAACCCAGTGAACGATTCCTTTGCCTCCAGGTATGAAATCCCAGACAGGGATTTTTGTACCTCCATCACTACCTTGTAAGTCAATCTTCCCTAAATTGTTACATACCAGAAATGGAGTCCATTTTTCATCATCCCCAACCAGCATATCCCTTGGCTTCAGAAATATCTTCTGCTGAACGCTTACCTTTTTATCCTCATTTCATACTCCAGTTTTTGCTTTGTCATTTCCTGCTTTAAGCTGGAAACAAGGCTGTGCAAAGCACTGTGATTGCCTGTGTTGTTAACAAAGGTTTCACTGTTGTCACTGCTGCTAGTAGCCCTGCTGCTTCGGCCCCCGACGCTTCTCCGGTCCACTTTGCTCTCACACTCAGCCGCGTTCAGGAGATTGTCCTGTTGGGGCTCGTCTAAAACCGGGTCTTCAAAATTGCTCCCGTAAAAGTCTTGTTCAGGACACGTGGTGGTGGACGATCGGCAGGAGTTGGAATGTTCTGGAAGGGATATTTCACAAGAGGACGTGGACCAAGTTGCACTGTCAACACTCTGCTTATCTTCAGCGTTCACTGCTGAGAACTGTTGGTGCACGTTGTCATAAGTAGAAAGTCTGTTATGCTGGCCTGAGTCACTCATAGGCTCCTTTTGCTTGTTGTCCCTCAAGGTCACGTACCCATTAGGCATCCAGCTCTGGCAACGGCTGTTCAAAGAGTTGCTATGGGCATCAGTGCTGGAAATACCCATTCGTACCCCTCCGTTGGGTACACTGTGCGTACCCATTTTGGTTACTGGCCCTTTCAGAGAAGATGTTCTTCTGGTCTGCAAGGTACCATTAGGGAGAGATGGTGATGTTTTCTCTTGACTCTCTACAGAACTACTGAAGGACCCATTGGTGACTATGCCGCTGCCTTTATTAAATGCTGGATTTTTTTTCACTGTAAGGGGTGGACTCCTAGTCATGTCCAGTTTGTGAATGCTGTTCCTTGGACTATTAGATTTGCTTCCAGGCTGAGCTGTAGGAGATCCATTGTCCACCATGGTTCTTTGAGGAGATTCAGGCTTGTCCCATGAGCACTGCCTTACTGGTGATGACTCCTTAGTATTATTATTTTCTCTGTTCTGGAGCTGACCAATGATCACTTTCTTTTGGATCTCATTGTTGTTATTGCAAACCTCCTGTCCAATTTGAGAATCTGCATCCTTGGGAAACAATAGCTCATGTTCGCTTATCATCATGGACATTAATTGCTGGACCACAACAGTACCTAATAGAAAATAACACAAAAAAATCTAGGTTAAGCATGCCATAACTTTTGAAAAAGAAATGCTATGTTTGCATATACTTTGCATCAGTGGTGGGATTCAAATATGTGAACAACCGGTTCTCTGTGTGGATGCCACTTCCGGAAGTCCATTCTGGGCCTGGGCAACAAAAAATTAGCTACCGGTTCTGCCGAAGTGGTGCGAACTGGCTGAATCCCACCACTGCTTTGCATCCAAGCTTATCTTTGCATGAGATTCAACATCTTGTGGTGGGTTTATTTTCCAATGGAAAAAAGAGGAGACTTTCTCATCAGAAAGTTCTTGCAATCCTCATTTGTCATGGGCAAAGCACCAATGATGCAGGATCCAATCTGGGTTGGTCACCAGGACCAGAGGTTTAGTCTTCCAAGCTTTTGGACTCATACTGAAGCCCATCCCCATCAAAATGTTGAGTGAGAGAGAAGTTCCCTTAGGATGGGCTCCAGCACAAGTCTGAAAGCTCAGAAAATGAAATCTCTGATCCCAATGACCAACCTAGATTGGATCCTGAAACATTATCCCAGGATATGTATATTTGCCTTCATTCATGAAAGCACCAATGATGTTTATATTACATAAAATAGTCTTTGCGCAAAAAGGGGTTTTTTTCCTCCCTCCCTCCCTCTCTCTCTCTCTCTCCCTCCCTCCCTCCCTCCCTCTCTCCCTCCCTCCCTCCATCCATCCATCTCACTTTAACAAGAGAACCACCTAGGAAAAGAACTGATCGCCATCTAATTGTATACCAAAATAACTCATGATTTCCAGCAGTAAATGAAGTTTGACAATCTGTCTTAGTCTCACAGTGAATGTTTTCCTGTAATTGGGTAGGAAGCAGTGAGTGTGAAGTTGAATCGAGACAGCCATTATCTCTTTAAATAGAGTTTATTACATTCTTTTAAAAGCTAGGATGGATGGATAGATTTTTTAAGGGCTGGCCCACTTCTTTTGCTTTATCTGGAGACGAAGCCAAGGCTGTATGCTGAGGGCCTTGAAGAACAAGTGACAAGAACTAAATATTGTTGACATGCTTCACTTGCCTATGAATTGCTCAGTTGCTTACACTGAGTGGGAAAACAGCATGAAACTTGATGCAAGATATGCCGTCATACAGGCTAGTTAAAAGACGATATATAGAGCTTCAGAACAGCTGGACCTGAGTCCCTTCTACTCTCATTCTCATCTGTGATTCCATAATTTGCAAAATAAAAATCAATCTCTACAGTTTATAACACCTTCAGGGGGTTCTCCAAGCCCCTCTGTCATCCCCCAACACATCTGCTGACAAACCTCCACCAAAGAAGTTTGCTGGAGCATACAGAGGGGTGGTGGTCTCAACCATCATCACCAAGCCAACAGATGTGGCAAGCATGGCTGATCTGGTAAGTACTGCTGGCAAGACAAGCAAAACTGGCATAGTCTGTTCCTCCAGGAACAAAGCCGAAACAGGTCCAAATCCAGGAGTAAAATGAAGTCCAACCCAATCCAGGTAGGTGCTCACTCAAACATTCCTCCAATCTTCTTTAGAACTATGTAGCTATGAGGACAATCCATGTGTGGCTTCTCCTCTCTCTCTCTCTCTTGCTCTGTCCCTTCCTTCCTTCCTTCCTTCCTTCCTTCCTTCCTTCCTTCCTTCCCTTCTCTCTCTCTCTCTCTTTTGCTCTGTCCCTTCCTTCCTTCCTTCTTTTCCTTCCTTCCTTCCCTTCTCTCTCTCTTTTGCTCTGTCTCTTCCTTCCTTCTCTCTCTCTCTTTTGCTCTGTCCCTTCCTTCCTTCCTTCTTTTCCTTCCTTCTCTCTCTCTTTTGCTCTGTCCTTTCCTTCCTTCCTTCCTTCTTTTCCTTCCTTCCCTTCTCTCTCTCTCTCTCT